ATGTAATTGTAGGTTGAAGGCAGTAGGTACGGGAAAAATCAGGTGAAGTTTTGCTATCTACTGATAATTAAGTATCACTAGATAGGCTAGAGGACAAGCTGTACGTATGGAGTTCCAGTCACGTCACATGTATGGACGATGATAATTTGTGGAAAAATGGTGTATGTTCAGCGGAATTTGAGCCTCAACTTATTGTGGCGAAAGTCACGAATTATGATTGACCACTGGCCAACGAACGAACGTCATAAAATTGACTAACAAACTATGCGATAGCTTTTATATGCATTCATAGAGCACAATGCATCTCATGCTCACACGATCACTTCCTTTATACCTGAATCAGAAATCGCAAGGTTTAAGGTGGGCCAACACACGTCACTTGTATAACAGTGGACTGATGGTTCCTCCAGTGGAGATAAGGGTAGGATGCAGTAAAAGGATTTATTACTGAGTTTTACATGTAGTACAAAAGATAAGTCCCTATATTTTGCTCGGAAATCACCGTCGTAACATTTTTAGTGATTTAGGAGTTGGTATGATATTCCAACCCTGGCACAATCTGCACCTATGAATCAACTCACGATGCAATGGTTTCCTACAGTCAGTAGGTCGATTCTAGGTGAAACCTCCACAACATCGTCATTTGGTCTAGATCTGTGACCGTGGTCAATCACCATTAAAGGTTTATTTATGGCTTCACTGAGGTATGCCCTTTCCGTCACAGTGACTGGAACCTTGTTTAGTGTACATTGTTAGCTTCATCCCTTGTCTCTTTTCATAAGATCATTGATGATTCCACACAACTCCCGTCCACTATTGTTGACGGTGGAACGAATTTCTAAATAAGCAGTCATCCGAACTGGTCCATTCATCTTTATGGTTGTCTATCTTCTTTAGATTGGACTACTCTGGAAAACGGTCTGCTCACTGCGTTTTGCTAGCCTGATTTCATGATTGAGTAATTTGATCGAGCACGTTGTTCGTTGCTGGAGTACGCGTATTCTTTCGTTTTCTTACTGCTATCTTGCGTGACTGTGCCCTCAGATCCTTTGCAGAAGTCGACTGGCATTGTGCTTGATATCTTTACCTGAATTTTTAGGATGACAGCTCGTCGGTAGCACCAAATTTACAACTTTAATAATACTACTAGGGGTTCTTCACATGAAAGATTGTGTGAAGTAACATGGCCCATATATCCACGGGCATTTCGCGCCCATGCATCATTTCCCTCGCAGAAGCAGTTTTGTGTTCCATCATGCCAAGATGTGGTTGCTTAAATAAATATTTGTAAACCTCCATCTTCGAATCTCGTTGAGGTTTCCTCCTGCGCAGGTGGTTGCTTTTCTGTTGAATTTTCAAGGAGCACGGCATTTCCGAATCGGCTGCTGTTGCTCCTTGGTATGATGATAACAGATCTGTTTGTGGGCAACTGCATACTCACAGCAGTAGCTAGAACGATGTTTTTGTACCGCAGAGTAGTGAAATCCGTATGAGTGCCAAAGGGGGAGACTTGCTTTTATTCAGTACTTCGGCGACGCCCCGTGGCATTCATGAAAAAACCTACCTAGACTTCCGCGGCGAATGTCCACAATGACAATAGGCGAGCAGACCGTGTGCCTGAATCCTGACGTCACGCTCGAGGCACAGTTGTGCCTCCTTATTTGTCTTAGCAAAGTAGGTATTCTCTAGCTCCTCGGTTCGATTCCTTAAAACGCAGCTGACATTCATCAACAATTTTTTCAACTTTATACAATTTGGTAGAAGAATTGCCGTTCCAGAGTTCATTTAACTTCTGCCACATTCACCTCAGATAATTCTGGTGCGTTTGAAAGTAAGCATTCTTTCTTAGAATACTTTATGCCTAATATACTTATCTAGGTTTACTATAATGTTGTCGCTTTTAGTTTCACTGACCAGCATACTCCTGTTAAATACCACCCAGAAGAGCCGTTCATGATGTAAATTTACAGTAGGGGGATAATTACGAGTATCGTTCTAACAGAGCATAATGACTAAACTTTTCAAATTATTCACCATAAACGCGAACAATGCTAGGATGTCAAAGCCGTGACATTGGCCAGCAATTCGGTTCAATTTGCTCCTACCATGCTTCCCACGACAAGGTCTAGCAGGTAGTGGTACAAAGCAATTCGTGCGCGAAAACCTTGGATTTCAGCCACCAGCTCGGCTTCTTCAAATTACCGAGAACCAACTCACGGAAACTCAGGCTTCTGTTAACCACATCTTTTAGGTCATCCCATCCTTATAGACATTCAAGCTGTCTCTGTTGCGGTGTGGCCGAAACGGTAGTGAAGCATCGGTGTTTACCACTGATGTCATGCCATCGATGAAGATGACGATGTGGCCGCAATGCGAGTGGAGTGTACGGAACAAAAAACAAGGGCTCAAAAGTTTTGGATAATACATTTGCGCTGTAACTTTTACTCCGGCGTATTTCACACACCTCCTAAGAAGTTCTATGCGTTTAGATGAACATCAGGTTTTATTTCTTTTCTCGGAGTTTTCAATCAACCATAGCAAATTCAAATGTTTATTATTGTGACCGTTAGAGACATTTTGGAGGCCCAATGGTGGCTCGTGTGCGACTTCAATTACTCAAGGAAAAATCAATGTTCAAACACGGCGTTGGTTGAGTTTTGAATCCCACGGTGAAATCGGAAGTTTCACGTGCTAGTCAAAAACCAGTCTTCCTGATGGACCTCTGAGAGCCTGTCGGAAATGCTCTCGTAGGATTGTGTAGACGTCAAGTTCTTACTGAGGTTAAGTCGGTAGTTGGAGAGACAAGTCAAGGACAGGCACAATTCATCATCCCCTCTAATGCTATGTTTTCTTATATAAAGCATACGCACTAAAAGCTGACCTAACAAGGTTTTTCACCTGATTTCGGGTTAGAGTTCTTTTACGACGTGTACGCAAATGACGTCTATCTGCACACACTTGGAAGAGGTATTATGTGAGTTAACTGTTGAAACATAATTTGACCCGTATTCGCACAGCATATTCCCGACGCATCATGGACCAAGTAATAAAACATTCCGGTAGTACAGAAATTCATATAGAAGACGTTGTCTACAGTTCGGATTGATGTAGGTCATAGTAAGATCTTTACTTGTAACCCAAATCCACTGGTTGAATAGCTATGGATTCTAGTCAGCTTTCCAATGTGATTAGAAAGCTGTTATGATATCCGATCTATGCAACTTGCTTTACAGACGTGATACGCAGCACACAGCAATTAGTTAGACCAACGACGGTAGGTTTATCTTTGCTGTGTAAAGTAATGACTTGTTGCGCTGAAAAACACAACTGATGAGTATGTTTCTGCTGAGATTATTTAGTCGCCCAATCAACAGCTCTGTTATCAATTTTCTTTCAGAAGGTAGACTCGATTCAACTCTGGAATAAGTGTGTTGTACTGAAAGGTAACAGCATCTGTAAAAGTCATCCTCCATCAAAAACTGGCTAAGTTACCAATTTCTTTGCTCCAACAGTCACAGTTATATCAGAGGGTTGTTTACAGATCTTGGGACGACGTCACAGTTTCATCTGGTAAAAGCATCACCAGAAGGCTGGTAAGCGCTTAAGCTGCTAGTTGAGGAGAGATCCCTCGACCCTGAGATGGAAAACCTGTGTTTGTCACAATCAAACTTCTTCAAGAATAAACGAACGTCATAAGACATATTTAGGTAAAACATCTTTGATCTTGCCAAGATCTCGATATTGGTAGGTAACGGTTACGTGGATAGACGTCGTCCTTTTTAGCCGAGTTCATTGGCCATTTGGTTGCGATGTGGCAATCTGAGCCTCCTCGTGACAATATTGGGCGGAAAGATATGGTAGGTTAACGTATGTTTTGGATAAATACGGACGTTTGTGGAGAGCCAAAGTTTTCTAGTACGACGCAACTAATCATTGTAGTATTATCAGCTTTATTGAAGGAAGGCATATATTGGATCACACGATGGAAAACTGACCTTCCAACCGATCGATAAGCTATAATGAACATGGAAGCAGACGAGAACGGAATCGACCTCACCAGTGCACATTTATGTAATGATTTTTGGAGCTGCGGCAGCGGTTATGTTTGGAGTGATGGTGTGTTGGTTTTCATAAACACAGCAAAAGTATATACAGTGTTTTGTACTGCGTGCTTTAAATTTAATTGAAAAACCTGTCGAAAATTCAAGAGAAACCAGTCGAGCCACGATATCAAGAGTGTCAAGCAAATCTAGAACACCTGATACTGTGACCGTCAACCCATAATCTGTACCCACATTGGGGCATCTTAGTCATCAGAAAAATAAAAAATGCATATGGATCATTCAATATTTCTGTTAACTCCTCTTTCTTTTTACTGGTTGGCTAATTTTTCCAACGCTATCGTCCATCAATTACTGTTTCCAAATTGTAATAACTTCTGCGTATCTTCCAGTGGAAGGCAACGATCAAGACACCTCGGTTTTTACACTTGATGTATTGGTTTGAATGCTAGTATGTAACTGCTTGTTAAGGTCTTTTCGCTGTTTTTTTGTTTCTACTGAAGCATGTTTGATTGGGTCCCAAAAGCGGCTGAGCCACTCGATGAATATGCATGTTAATTTATGGCACGGTATTCATTCAATAAATCTCGTTTTTAACAGATCTGGTTTCGCGGATTTTGCATCATAAGATCTACAGTGGTTTAGACGTTTGATTGGGTCCCAAAAGCGGCTGAGCCACTCGATGAATATGCATGTTAATTTATGGCACGGTATTCATTCAATAAATCTCGTTTTTAACAGATCTGGTTTCGCGGATTTTGCATCATAAGATCTACAGGTACTTGGTTTAGACGGGAAAAACGACCATTTCGCCTCGGCTATTCGAAGAAGCACACATGTTCAGCAACAAAATTTTGAGCGTTTTGAGTCAGCTTCATTTGCAAGATGTGGATGGAATTCCATTTTTGTGCACTCTCTTTTATTCTGATCCCCTCAAAGATATATTCAGATTGTGAGGGCTCACTGGCTCCCGTTTTGAACGCTCATAGAAAAGCGCCCAGTAGCAAGTTTGCACTCCGCTTACAAGTCTCATTGGATCCCCAGATAAGTGAGTGTTTGTCGGAGTGGGACAAAGACACCAAAAAGCTATTGATATCCTGATACAACCGTGTCAATTGGTATTTAACCCTAGATGATTTGATTTAATGATAGTTTGTGGTTTATAAGTCCTTTCTACCTGAATGTTCAGTTCATATACTTTGCTGTACCTCAGTGGTTAGCAGTGGTTTTCCTGCCGTTTGAGGAATATTAGGCTCTGACTTCATTAGAAGTCCATTTACTTAAGAAATGTCGTTTTTGACCTCTTCGGTCTTGAGATTCTTGCGTGTTATTCATCATACAATTTTCAATTTCCTCGAGTCAAGGAAATCTAACCAAAAGATTGAACAGATGAGAAATTAACAATACTCATGCTTAAACGCATTAGCCAGCAGGTGATGGTTGAGAATATTAAGAATATTAGCCCTATTCTAGACAAAACGTAAGGTAACCCACCAACTGAGTGTTGTTCACAGGAAATCACTTTTAAGACTGAGAGACAATTTCTTCTGCATATTCTCTGTAATTTGGAATTCCTTCTTTCAAAGCTCTTTTGATGGCTTCAGACACCTTTGAAGCTCTTGTTTGCACATAACCCTTGAATTTGCACCATCGACACATTTTCAGCACCACAAGGGGCACTATGTGCTCAGGCCAAGTTTCTTCTCATAGTCCACCATTCTCAGTTCCATTGGGAAGTACCTGACGGGTGTACTTAGTCGGTCTGGTTGGCCACAATCCTTCAAAAGGGGCTGCATATGTGTAGCATAGTGTTGTGAAACTTTTCGACGCCACTTTGGTGGCTGATCATCAGGTTGAGCTGGCGCTTTTTGTGGTTTTTAGTTTCAAGGTGTTAGGTCATGACCCGAGCTGGTTTTATATTCTTATGCTCCCAGAAATTTTTAGCCTAATTGAAATCCACTGACACATCATACAAACAATAAACAAGTGACTATTTCTGACCACGTTTGCTGGCAACTGATGAACAAACAGTCGAGAAACTGAACTGCACAGATTACTGCCCGTCACGTTACCAGTCATATCAATTTTTATCTGTGTATGGTTTCATCATATTTAGCTGAATAATGGCATAAATAGACACTGTTTGAACTATCTATTTGACCCTGTGGGAGCTCCTGGTAAATGCTTGCTGTAAATACGACTCCGGACGCGCCCTCACAAAGAATGCTGAATCAACCTGAAAGTCCGTGATTTAACAAAACTCGACACCTGCAGCTCCGGAGGGAGTTACTTTTGAGGACCTCCGTCGAAGATTTTATCGGGGTTCGGATTCAACTCTCGCCAACAAGCTTGGGCGAGAGAGGAGCATTACTGCGGACGGTCGTTCTGTGCGCACATGCACAACGAGGCTGGAGGTTCACTTAAGGATGACGTTCCGGAATTGGTCTGAGACCAGTTTGCCACAGCAACTTTTAAACAGCTGGAATGCAAATGGATGCGTCCATGCAGTCATCATTTTTCACGTGAATGCTACGAACGGAGGGAGAATTCCTTCTTTCAAAGCTCTTTTGATGGCTTCAGACACCTTTGAAGCTCTTGTTTGCACATAACCCTTGAATTTGCACCATCGACACATTTTCAGCACCACAAGGGGCACTATGTGCTCAGGCCAAGTTTCTTCTCATAGTCCACCATTCTCAGTTCCATTGGGAAGTACCTGACGGGTGTACTTAGTCGGTCTGGTTGGCCACAATCCTTCAAAAGGGGCTGCATATGTGTAGCATAGTGTTGTGAAACTTTTCGACGCCACTTTGGTGGCTGATCATCAGGTTGAGCTGGCGCTTTTTGTGGTTTTTAGTTTCAAGGTGTTAGGTCATGACCCGAGCTGGTTTTATATTCTTATGCTCCCAGAAATTTTTAGCCTAATTGAAATCCACTGACACATCATACAAACAATAAACAAGTGACTATTTCTGACCACGTTTGCTGGCAACTGATGAACAAACAGTCGAGAAACTGAACTGCACAGATTACTGCCCGTCACGTTACCAGTCATATCAATTTTTATCTGTGTATGGTTTCATCATATTTAGTCGAATAATGGCATAAATAGACACTGTTTGAACTATCTATTTGACCCTGTGGGAGCTCCTGGTAAATGCTTGCTGTAAATACGACTCCGGACGCGCCCTCACAAAGAATGCTGAATCAACCTGAAAGTCCGTGATTTAACAAAACTCGACACCTGCAGCTCCGGAGGGAGCCCATAATTTAAGATAACCCATGGCCTTCAGACGTTGAATATCTCTGTGGTAGCACCTGATAAGCACATCAAAGGAGAATTTGAGATACCTCAACTGCTAGTAGGGTTTTCCCTTTACGATCAGCCAGCTGGCTAACGAGTGCACTCTTTTAAACACAGTGGATGTCCGCAGTTTCACCAAAGTCTAAGAAATTACACCACTTAGTTTCTCATCACCAGAAAGTTTGTTATGGATTTGAGTGGCCTGTGCAATCCATGCGACTTGGATGCTGCACTAGGCTGCACGGTATAATGATCATATCCTGGGGCACATTACCACGATTAAGTGGTGGCGTTGGCCCTCACCCAGACGTTTGACCTCGACTAAATCAAATGGCCTGCTCCGGATGCCTAGCATCGTCCTGAAGGCTGGCATGCTCTCTTTCGATTCATAAAAACAGGCAGTGGTATTAACATAATAACCATTGACACCAGCCATATATTCACTATTTAAAGAACTGTGGAGAACATTACAACCCTAGTCGCATACGGAAAAATTGCATCGACACTTTACATTTGTTCGTATGCTATGCTCAAATGTTATACCTTGTCCACATCTCTACGGCACAGCCTCGAAACCGGGGGGTTGCATCACCTTTCTACGTGCCGCAGCACGGATCTCTGTTGAGAATTCCCAGTTCTAGAATCTGTCGGAAAAACCAAACTGTAGACAATCTTGTGCTCCAACTAATGATCATTCTCAGTAGTATGCGTGTGTCGTTGGGGAAGCCTATCAACAAATATTTTCGAGGTTTTTCATTTTGTATAATCCTAAGCTTTTTACCCCCGTGGTTTCATTTCGAACCGTTAACGTCTGAGCGTACCCGGCGTGCCCATCTTTAATTTTAAGAACCAAACGAGCTAAGATGCAAGACCAATTGCATTTTTTTGGTTTTTCTCTGGCATTTTATACTGTACTACGAGGTATTGCGGGGGCCTGGAAAACCTTGTGCATTACTAATCTTCACGCTGCTGAATTCGGTTTTCTTGGGCCGCAACTCACAGGTGATTGCGGACAAAAAACTCAACTGCGCGCGATACCTCTTGGAGATTAGCTATCAGCCTCTCTATTTTTGTCGCTCCAATTAACAAACTTTCGTCATTTCTTCAACTAGATATCCTAGGATCCCTCTGTTCTGATGGCTTTAAAGTTAACTGAGTTTTGTAAGTCACATCAAGGCAGTTATCAGTGATCTCAGGTTGACCACCACTTTTCAAGCTGTAACAGACCTATTCTAAGTTTTTACTGTGAAGTCACCACTGCTTATTATCTTGAAGCAACCGCATAAATTGTATTTGCGATTACGATGCGTAAATGGTCTGGAGGCCCAATCCTCCCCGAATTCCTCTGCAACTTAACCATGCCAGTTCATTATCTGTACCATAACCCATACTCCATCAACCAGAGCAAGCTAATTGTCACCTATCGGCAACCTATCAGACACGTTCTGTGGTTTGCAACGACCACTCTTTTCGCGGGCTGATCTTGAGACAATTTCGCTTAAAAACTTTAATAAAAAGCCGTCGAGCTGCTCATCGCTCTGCAGTCTTCAGTAGGTCCGGTAACTATCTTGCCTCGATATTTTCACATATCAACATCGTTGCCCTTTCAAATCCTTGATGTAAACCTGGAAGTCTCTCCAAGCATACCTGGCGATTAAAAAGTCCATTTTCTCTCATGAGAATCACGTACGCAACCATTCACTTAGGCCCCATCTTTAGAGGCCCACGACTCCTTATCCGGGGGCCGTTTTTAGGTATGAACTCCCGAAACCCATCACCCTAGCAGACAAGCTAGGTATTTTCAGTTTCCCACTGAATACATTTATTTTTACACCCTAATTACATCTGTTCCATTTTCTGATGAACACTATCTCTACTGTTGGCCACTCGCTTCTTACGTCAACTCCACTGGTTGTGCTCTTCCTTCATAACATCCTCTGGCGTGCCTGTGGTTGTCGCAGTTACCCTTAGCCTGAAGCATTGGCGCACACCCGTAACAAAATCAACTTCCATGAAACTAGGGAAAGCCAGAGGAAGTTGAAGAAAATGGCTTCAAACACTTTTACACTAGTTCTACCGGACCCACAGTTCAGGATCAATCTTTAGCATACTCACTTTCTGCCCAGGAAAAAATGTACCAACCAAATTGATTCGGTTAAAATCCATGAACAAATATCAGTTATAGGCTTTAATAATTATGAACAGCGGCTACAGCACACAAAGCCCTGCGATTATGTATGTAAATGACGGAGCAGTGAAAAATCTCCTGCCCATAACCAAGTCCCGGGCTGAAGACCCTTTGCTATACGGTCTCCACACGGATAACCCACTAAATCTGAAGCAAAGACGCGCCCACTTGCTCGTGCCGAAAGTAGTTCATCTTAATTAAAAACCTATGCAACTGGAAAGCACTACCAGCTAAAGTCGTGCATGCCAAGCTCATTGTGAACTCAGCACCGGTAATGATAAGAGAACAGGAGTGACATCTTGGAAGCAAAACCTTTTCGAGTTTAGCAATAATTAAAAATGTCCATCCTGAACGAGTTCTTCTGCGACTTTTCGTGTGTGTAGTTTGTTTAACCGTGCAAATTTTTAGGGTCAACAAATACCTGAAAATCAAAAACAGTGTTTATTGGAGCACAATACTGGGCGATCACGCTACTTTCGGCGTCATCTCCATTCTGACTGGTCGAAATCTAAATGGCGGGAACATTTAAAAATGGCAACATGGCGGTTTATGATT